CAGTTGTTGGCGCCCGTGTGCGCAGTTGTTGGCGCCCGCGTGCGCAGTTGTTGGCGCCCGCGTGCGCAGTTGTTGGCGCCCGCGTGCACAGTTGTAAGCTTCGTTGATGACCTTTTTTACTCGCGGTGTTTTGCCTTCCCGCTTTTCTCCTTTATTTCGCGTTCGCATTTTGAGGTTGCGAACAGACCGTCGCATGGGTTCACTTTGTGGCAGCATTTGCCGTTTTTTTTCCCTTATCGGATAATTCGCGTCAGGCCAAGTGGCCACTCAAGTCGCCTTGGCAGCCGGCCGGCTGGGGACCCGTTTTTTGCCTGTCTTACTCTTTAAGCGTTGCTCCGCTTCTCGCCTCGCCCGTGTCTCCCACAGTCTGTCCGGTGCACGCTTGCAGGCCTTCATAGCCGCCAGTAATTTCCAGCCTGAGGAACCATGGATTCGTTCTCGCACGATGATGCTATTGCCTTCCTGTCCGAGCTAGGGGTAGAGGCCCTCTCGAGTCCGGGCCTTGTGGAAAACGTCCAGCTGTCCATCAGTCACAACGCCAGCCAATTCAAAGGGCAGCATCTTTTAGGTCAGCCGCGCGGCCCACCTACCGCAGCCCCCGAAGACTTACCAGCCCCCAAACGGCCCGCACCGGGCCCCGTCCCTGCCCGTCGGCCAAACCTGGACCCCACACCAGTTCCGGCAAGTCTGGCCATGCATCGGAAACAACCCGCCCGCCCCGCGGTGGCGCCAGAAGGTGTGAAGGTTGAGGCCCCCGGTGAATTCTGGAAGGATAAAGGGGAGTTTTCTAGTCCTACTTTCGACAACACCTCGGGATCTCGGTCGACTCCAGTAGCGGGTCCGCCTTGCGTGCCGCCTCAGATGAGGGGACGCCTCTCGGGCAAGAAAGGCGCTTGGATGGCTTGGGTTGTGAACACGCTGGTCATCTCGTGGATCACGTCGGGTTTCCCACTCCGTTGGGTCTCCAGCCCTCCCCCCCCAGCACTCCGGCCGCAATCACGCTTGGGCAACCGCCAACACCGCGTTCGTGGACAAAGCCGTAGCAGATCTGGTGGCGTCGGGCACGGCCCGCGTATGGCCGTCGCAGCCCCGCGTGGTTTGCCCGTTGGGGGTCATGCAGCAGGCAACCAAGCTCCGGCTTATTTGGGACGGCAGGCTGGTAAATGATTATTTGCACGTCCCCTCCTTCCGCTACGAAGACTTGAAGGCGGTTCCTGGTTGGCTACTCCCAGGCGATTATCTTTTTACTTTGGACCTTAAAAGCGGCTATCATCACCTCGATATCGATCCCAGGTTCTGGGAATATCTCGGCTTCTGCTGGAGAGGGGTCTTCTATGTGTTCACACAACTGCCTTCCGGCCTCGCTTCCGCTTGCTGGGCGTTCACGAAGCTCATGCGAGAGGTCATGCGCCCCTGGCGCAAACGCGGCTGGCGATGCTCGGGCTACATAGACGATCAGGTTCACGCAGACCAGAACGCCGACAACTTGGTCCGGCGCAGGGCCGAAGTGGTTGCTCAGTTGGAGACGCTCGGTTTCCTGGTCAATAAAGAGAAATCTATGCTGGGGGCCGTGCAGCATTGCATTCGTTATTTGGGCATGCTTATCGATACCAAGGACGGCGTTTTCATCGTGCCAGGCAACAAGCGGGACCGCCTCTTATCTGAGATCAACGGTGTGCTCACGGCGCGGCGCTCGACCGCCCGCCTATTGGCATCCATTAAAGGCCAACTCCTGGCCATGTCTTGGGCCTTCGGACCTTGGGCCCGGCTGCGCACCCGAGCGCTCGGTCAACTTATTGAAACTCGGCAGACCTGGGAAACCCATCTCTCCCTCTCTGACGACGCGCGGGAGGAGCTGTCTTTCTGGGAGTCGTCCTTTGATCGGTTTAACGGCCGTCGGCACCTGTGGGTTCCGTCCGTAGTGCATTCCCTCTTTTTTTTGCGACGCCGCAGGCAAATCCTCCGAGTCCCTCGGAGGTTGGGGGGCCTGGACAATCCTCAATGGCCAGCTAGCGCCAGCGCGTGGCGAGTGGACGCCCGACGTCAGTGCTATGGGGTCTACCCCGCAGGAACTCCAGGCCATTCTGAACGCGATTCGATCTTTCGATAGCCCAGCCGGTCTATCAGGTCAGTCGGTTAAGGTCACCACCGACAACCTTAATGCAGCGAATGTCGTCAACAAGGGCTCCGCTAAAGCGGACAACTCCCACAAGGTCGCCTGCGAGCTGCACAGCTATTGTTTCGAGCAGGATATCCGCTTGCAAGCGGAGTGGCGACCCCGCGGCCAGAACCAGCTCGCCGATGCGCTTTCGAAACTGCAAGACCCTGACGACTGGATGCTGAAGCCCAGCATATTCCGCAGGCTTCATGACATCTGGGGCCCCTTCGACATCGACCTATTTGCGTCCCACGCGACTTTCCAGCTCCCCGTGTACTATTCCCGCTATTTCACTCCAACGACGTCCGGAGTCGACACGTTCAGGTTCTCATGGGGGCGCAGGTGCTGGGCAAACCCGCCCTTTCACCTCCTCCTCAGGGTACTGCAGCACGCCGAGGCCTGCCAGTCCCGGCTTTGCCTTGTCGCGCCTTTCTGGCCTACTCGCGACTGGTGGCCTTTTATCACGGCCGACGGGGTCTGGTTCATACCTTTCGTGAGTGGAGTTCGCTTGCTCGGCCGGGCCGCGGATGTCTTTCTGGCCCGCACCTCGGGGGGCCCCCTGCCCAAAGGCGCTTCCCGCTGGTCCACCTTGGCCCTTCTGGTCGACTTCTCGGCCTCTAACATCAACCGTATCCGTGTTCCCGCTGATCCGATCGCGCCCCTCGCACAGACTTAGATGCCTAGGCTGAGGCTCTTTTGGTCGCTCTCGGCGCGGAGGTGGACACGGAGCTCTCCACCTTGGCGACTCAGTTTGCCCAGGTGGCCGGTCAGACACTCGCCCCGCGGACGTCCAATGATTACGCGCGGTCTTGGGAACCCTTCCGCGAGTGGTGGGTGGCCAGGCGCCTGCCCGGAAGCATCTACGACACCCCGGGTGAGGCGGTGGCGCTCTATCTGCTCTCCCTGCTGAACTTGTCCAAGGAAGATAAGGTGGGGCCTGGACGGGTTCGTACAGCGAGTGCAGCAATCAGCTCCTACTTCCGCCTAGCCAGCAGAGCGTCCCCTACAGAGCACCCTGCCTGCAGCTCGTCCGCGACCTCGCCGAAAAGCAACTCCAAGGCCGTAAGCTGGAACGCGACGCCCTGGAGCCGGCGGACGTCACGGTGCTGGCCCGGCTGGTCGGTGGGCCGGAGCCGCCCCTTGACCAGCTGATGACCGTTACAGCCATCGTGGTCATGTTCACGGGGTTCTTTCGGTTCGACGATGCTGCGGAGATAAGCATTCACGAGGACCTTCTGGTTATCACGGCAACTGGGATGGATGTTTTCATCCCTCGATCCAAGACCGATCAGCAGAGACAGGGTCACTGGGTTCCCATCGCCCGCGTCAGCGGTGCCGCTTGCCCCGTGGGCCTGACAGAGCGCCTCCTCACCCTAGGACGGTACAAACGCCGCCCAGACACGCCGGACGAGGACGTCGGGCCCCTTTTGCGACCGGTCCAGTGGAACAGGGCCGGGGGGTACTTGTCAGGCCCCCTGACAGGCACGGTGGCCCAGCCGATCCACTCCCTGTCGTACCCTGCCTTCTGCCACCGGCTCAACAAGACCCTGCAGGCGGCGGGGATCACCCGCCGCATCACTGCGCATTCCATGCGCATAGGAGGAAATAGCACTGCCGCCGACCGCGGCGTGCCTGAGGACCTGCGCAAAGCGCACGGCTGGTGGTGCAGCGACGCCATGGTACAGCACTACACGCGGCGCGACGGGGAGGCGAAACTCTCCGTCTCCCGCAGCCTGGGCCTCGCCAGTGAGCAAATGTCTCTTCGGTCTGCTGTGTAAGGCCCTTGGCAGCGGTGCAATTCTCGCCAAAAAATCGTCCAAACCGCACCGTTCAGCACCATCGGGTCAGCCAATCCTCCGCCACCAGAACCAGTTAAGGGAGACAGTAACACAGAATTGTTGGCTTAGACGCGACGGAGCGAAGCGACCGGAGCTTCTAAGGCTGGTTCTGTGGTACTGTCGTACAACTGGTTCGCAGTGGCGACTTAATTCTCGCTGCTCTCCTGGTGAAGTCATTCTGCCTTCACGCAGAAGAGCATACAGCCTTGTCCAATAGTCAGTGTGACAGGCTGTACTTGCCCCCCGCCCGCCCTATTCCTGTCAGCCCCTTGCTTCCTTTTTTCCGCTATCCCCAGTCTTGCCCCAGATGCAGCACTGATTGGCTCGGCCTGGCGTCGGCGGGCTCCTGAGAGGCGCCCTCCCCCCCTCAGCATGGTGGCAGGGGGAGGCAGCACGCGCGCGGGAGGGGGGTGGTTCAGGGGGCGGGCCGAGGCGCCCGCATCCGGGATGAGGGGGAACACCTCTTGGGGTTGGTGCCTGGTCGTTTCTGGTCGGTCGGGCTTTGTCTGGTGCGATGGTCTTTGGGGCGCGCGGGTGCTGCAGTGCTTCTGTTCTTAGGTTAGCTTTGTTTTGGTTTTTTGGTGTTGGGCGCTGGCGCCCTTCCGCGGTGTGTTCCGGACTGTTGGCTGTCTGGTGTGTCGCGCCGCGGTCGGCCGCGCGGCCCCCGTGGCTACGGGCGGCCTGCTGGCCGGTTGGGCCGCGCGGCCACTGATAGGCTTGGCTGCTTGCTCTTCCTGCTGTGTAAGGCCCTTGGCAGCGGTGCAATTCTCGCCAAAAAATCGTCCAAACCGCACCGTTCAGCACCATCGGGTCAGCCAATCCTCCGCCACCAGAACCAGTTAAGGGAGACAGTAACACAGAATGGTATTTATGGCATGGAAGATCTCTGGCGCGCTGCAAGTGTGGTTGGTGATCCATTGGATCACCTCTCTCAACGTGCATTTTATCTTCGACCGCCCCACAGTCGCATCTGCAGATGCTTGAATCAAGGTGTTTAGACGCAGTATCCCTGCTTAAACTCTTCGTATGGCACGATACTGCAAAAATCGCCAGGATGCGCAGCTTCGTCAGCCTGCTTTTTATTTTTCAAGTTTTACTTCGTTTGAGCATATACCCGGTGTAAAATTGCATTGGTTTTTTTACGCACTTGCATTGCCATCGCCTCGCGCCTGTATGGCACTGTGTGTTTCCGTGTCACGGCACCCTTCTATTAGGATTGGGCCCCCCAGCCAAAATTAAGGTTTTACCGAATCAGTCACACGATAACAGCTCCACGATAAGGATTACGACACGACCAAGAGGATTAGGATTGGGACCCCAGCCTCAGAGTTAGGATTGCGGTCCGGCCCCAGGATTAGGATTGGGACCCCCCCAGGATTGGGATTGGGACTCGGCCACAGGATTAGGATTAGGACCCCGACCCTAGGATATGGATTAGACCACCACTCTGGATTAGGGATTAGAAGTGGTCCAACCCTGTTGAGATTAGAGGATTGCTGACCGGTACCCACCCCCTGGATTAGAGGATTAGGACCACTTTGCACCCCTCTGCCCCAGTCTTCACTGAAACCTTGGTATGGCTTGGTTGGCCTGTCCGCCATGCGCTGTGTTGCACAGATAGGCTGGCAGGCGGAATGCAGGACAAGGGCATAACCGGGTGCGGGGCGTGGTGCCGTGTTGGGTCTTGGGGACATGCGCAAGCTGTGCGCCAGCTCGGATGCCATACAATGGCCTATTTCCACCGCCAAATGATCATTTACCCAGTAGAGCATTCATTGTGCCATTCAGAGCCGACAAAGGGATGGAACGACGTGTTGGGCGTGACGGTCAGTTTTTGCTGAATCCCTTTCACTAATGCCCAGTGCTTGTGGCCATTGCAATGACCTTATTGCATGATTTAATTGTTCCAGTGCGTTGGTGTTATTTAAGCAGGTTACATAAACAGGTCATTAGAATGTCCGCCGCGCGCCTTGGGATGTTGTCTTTTTTCTTTCGATTGCTTTCTCCTTTTATGCTAGAAGCCTTTTGACTATGTGCGTCACAATTTTGGGGTTAGTTTCTCCTGGCGAGTGTTTTGCGCGTTAATTGCTTGCCAAGGAGTGCAAGCTGGAGCATTAATTATTAGCGTCTCGTGAATCATCTACATACAGATGTTTTGGAGCTTTGGACCATCGTTTCCATGACCGTCCGCTAGGCGTCCGCTGGAACGGTCAGGATGTACGGCGTTGCGGACAGGGGACCGTCCGCCAGCGGGGTATATGTGACCTCTGTCAAGCAGTCGCAATTTCCATCTACGAAAGTATGCCCGCTTTGCGCAAAATTTAAGCTGTAAAGAAAAGCAATAATTACCTCAAATGGTGTTCCTGACCTTCGCCGATATCGTTGTGTTAGACTGATCCTTGAGTCAATACATTCATTATGGCTGCTTGCATAACAAATTGCGGGATGCGAGGCGAAATGCACTCTTGCTTACTTCTGAAGTCGCAACTCGCAACTCGCAAGGAACACGCAAAATTTCAATTATTCTTTTTATGCGAATACATACGTGTGCATACGTGACTCAGTTTGTAGGACGGATCTCACAATTGGAGTTGTATTGAACCGTTACTACTACAGCAAACAAGTGCGCGAATGTGTTTGCCACCTCTATTTCGATGAGAATTACACGCAAGCGCAAATAGCTGAAGCTTTCGGGCACAGACCTTGCGAGAGGACTGTGCATGCTCCTACCTGGCGAATGGCGAGGTCCTGCCGCTTAGAGGACAAACAGGAACACGCAGACCACGCAAGTTTGATGAGATCGCTGCACAGACGCTTGTGGAGCTGGTGCAGGCCGACGACCAACCATTGCTCTCCGATCTGGCCACCGCTATGACAAACTTACTGAGCACTCATTGGAGCTGCCCTGATATTAGCCGTGCATTGTCTGAGCTGGGTATGTCCGCAATAAGTTTTTTACCAAGGCATTCGAGGCACGGGAATGCTCAGCTGGCATATCGCGAGCTTGTGTGACAATATGTTCAAATGGCCCAGAAGCCTCCCATTCTGTAATAATTCAATTCAATATCGTGAGCTTGTGCGCGCGCGCGTGTGTGTGTGTGCGTGCGTGTGCGTGTGTTGTGCAAGTATTTGACCATGCCTGACACTGGCCAGGGACTGCTGCCCAGCCCCAACGGAAAGACCACCTAAGCTCCTCCCGCAGACGGGAGAGGGGCATAAGGGGCCTCTGTCCCCTCCAAAGCAGCCGGGTCAAGGCTCCGTCACGCGAGTTTGAGCACTGAGCCTGAAACACATAAGAAGACTGGCTCTTGTGGTGAGGGTTCAAGAAGACCGAGGAAACCCGGAAACCCTGCACAGACCCTACCCCTCCCTATTTAGGCACCAGGCCCTAATAGAAAGCTCGGTCTCTCACCCGATTCTCTGTTGCTTGCCCGCAAGGGGCACGGGGGAGCAGGCAGGGTTCATTGCTCGTGCTGAAATCCATAATGACCACCTGAAATCGCCATGCCCCAATGTTTTCGTCAAATGCTTATATGTTTCCGCTTAGGCTGTAGGGATTTAGAGATTAACCGACCTAACGGCCATGAGCGCACAGCCCGCACCTGGTGGCTTTGTGACTGGGGGCCGGTTGAAGACAAAATGCATGTCTTTGTGGAATGCCCGGTGTACACTAGTACACGGGCTAAGTATGAACGTGATCTCGTGTTTCAAGGGTGCAACATGCGCACGATTACCACCGAGGCCCCACCCCTGGCAGTAGCCAGGTTCCTCTCGGAAGTCCGGGAGACCCGGCACGTTGCTCTAAGGCGCTTCGTGCTCAAGCGGACGAGGGTGGACGATGATGGTCCACCATGTAACCGCCCTAAAAACGATTTACCACCCATGGACCCCCCAGCTTTTATGGACACCCCCGCACTTGTGCGGAACTTGTGCGGGCTAGGCTAGTTCCTATCATTTCACCGCCAGGGCTAGGGATGCCTCGAGGCAGTGTGGTTGTTACAGTGGGCTCCAGACTCACAAAGAGTTCAGTAGAGCGTAGGACACAAGGTCGGGGAGAGCAATTCTTTGGACTGCCCCGGTCGCACAATTCCTGTGCTTCCCTAATTCGACACCCCGAACAGCCCAATTCGACACCACGACAGGCTAATTCTGACTGTCGGAATGTCCCTGCCAGGCCAATTCGTGTCCCTGTCAGGCCAATTCAAGGGCCTGTCCCGGCAATTTAACTTGTCCCAGGTGTAGACCCCGTGCCAATTTCAACCCTTCTATCGAGCAATTTCGACGAATTGCGGAGTCGGCCCGGAAAATCTCAGGCAGGCATCCAGAATCGCGGTAGTTGGTTTTGATTCTGTACATGGGCCAGGAAGTGGCAGGAACCCTACACGCTTGGTTACCGTCCTCGGTTCTCATTTCATTCATACATTCATGTGTAAGGATTGCAATAATTCACCGAATTTTGCAAAAGTTTACTATGTTCAGACTCAGTCACTTCCATGCTTCCGATTCGGCGTCCTTTGGCGCCTGCAGGTCTTCTGAAATTGTGAACAGTCGTAGGTATCCGCATCATCAAATACATCCAGGCCAGCACAAGCTGCCTGCCCGTTAAAGCTTTGGTCTAAGCCTGTACAACTCTTGGGACCGCCGTCAAGGCCAACAGGGCGAAGTACCCATCCAGGTCCAGCGTTAAGTCTAGATCCCACTTCACAGTATTGCTGCGACTCAGTCCCACAATTATCAGCACCACCTTGCTGTGAGTCCAGTGCCTGCGGGGTACGTATTGCAACAAAGACGTGCTCCTGTGATGCTGATTCAAATTTATATGATGCAACTACATAAAGAACTTGCCTGCAGCAGTGCCGCTAAGCCATCTGGTATTTGGTGCTCGGTTCGCTTCCCAGGTGTGCACGTGTTCAAGCCAGCACGCACTTCCATTTCATGAGCTGAGGTAAGTAACGCCGCACAGTTCTGTGCTGAATCCATCACATGAACTCCATCCACTGCATTATCTGTAGGCACACCAAAACGCATAAGCACCCCCCTATTACCAGCATGGCTCCTCTGATGTTCTGTCCCGGGTGATCTTAGGGCCTCCAGCCCTAACTGTTTCATAATTTGCGTCATCTTGCCCGCACTGTCATGAGCTGCTGACAGTTCGCCTTCCATTGCAGGCGCTCCACAACTTATCGAGATATCGCCCTTCAATTCTCCAGTAACATTGTCAGGGCTGCCGATGGTAGGTCCAATGGTCCCAGGATACTCTCCTTTACCACTCCGCAGTAAAAAAGACTTCATACAAGGTACAAAGACTTGATTGTAGAACGCAATAATATCGGCACGCCTCCCCACCTGGAAAAAACCACCATTTGTACGCTGTTATTCAAAAGTTACCATCAGCCGTCAGGCACATTTACATGCCTCACAGCGAAGTAGCATTGGCAGCGATGGCAACCTACCTGCAAGCTTGGATTTGACTGCTCAACCACGACCGAACGGAATATGGACGGTTGTGCTTGAGGCTGCTTGCGGTAATGTGCGATTATTTCACGAAATGAAACCTGGGCCAGCCTGTGAACTTTGCAAAAACCATAAAGTGCCGAGAGGATTATCTGGTCGATGTGCCGATTATAGAACAAGTGTGTCTGGAAGAACAGAGCATGCTCGATGGTCTGATACACCTACACACATGATAATCAGGCCAAGTAATAGTATTGCCATAATAAAGCGGCTCGGAATGCTTAGATAACCATACCTTTGTATTGACATCTAGACGTTGCAAGGGACTGAAGTCAAAGTTATCGCATAAGACCGCAAGCCTGAAGGCGGCAAGCTTCAGTACCTGCAGCAAAGCTCGCGTCATGCAAGTAAACCAACAGGTTTAATTTTCGTGCTTTGCTTTAGCATTTTCTTACCTTACAACAGAAATGGTTTAATGCTGCCGCGCAACCATCTGTGTGAGCGGATTCTACGAACTTGGCTCCAATACAAGGTGGAAGCTTTCGCAAATAACGATGAACAGCGTGCTGGCTCCCCTCCATGCGGGCTACAGGGAAGAAGAGAGCGGTAATCTAAGACCAGCCTGGCAATAGTATTTTGCCAACCTGGCAATACTAATCTCCAGGAGGACGATATGTGGGCAGATGATTAAGCATTCAAACTTGATAATCTATTGCAGGTTTTGAAGAAGAATTATTAGCAACGCCATCCAATACCAGATCATTGGCGGCCTATAAAGTTAATACTGTAATGTTAAGAATCTTATTAATATTGCTAAAAACCACAGCAAAAAAGAAAAAATATCGCTCCAACCATAAACTACTGAAATTATCACTGGACAAGTCAGATTAATATGATGATTTGAAAACAAGACACAGATTGTCCAAAATTGATAACGTGAATGTTATTTCACATTATCAACACTGGGCAATCTTTATATAGTTGATGTCGGCTATATATATGTAAAGGTACGTAAAAATAATGGGTAACATTGATATTGTAAAGGCAGTTTTGTTTACCTTGCTATCATATGTTAATTTTGAATTAACCACAAATACTGGTACTTCTAATCCCTTTAGGGGATGAATAAAGGGGAACTCCTGAAGTTCTTCATCCCCTTTAGGACCGAGTTCTCCTTTAGGGGAAGACAAGAAAAGCGCTGTAATAAGGCCTTTCAATATTACTACTACGTAGTAATAATATAATATTGGTACCGCTAGTATGATCATAGGTTAAATGTTATGCATACCTTTTTTCACCGGAGAAAACTCAAGCACGTTCGAGTCTTGTGGTCTCTTCGTTGACAGGGGTGATGCACTTGTATCGGGGATGAGCACCAGAGACTTAGGTGCCTGCATTGTCTTGTCAGCTGTGTCGGGCAGAAAACAGCATCAAATGATTATCAGCATTGCCTGTTTGCAGCACCTTAGTCACAGATCCGTTAATATTACGTAAATCCTTAGCCAGCCTGCCTTCATTGCAGCACCCCTGTGTCTAGCTTACTGGTGTCGTCCTCAAAAGTTGCACACTCTTCCAAAAGTTCATCCTGGGCCACGGTGCTGCAAATGAGGCTGTAGAGTGGAGAATCCGCCTCCCACGCCAAGGATTCGAGGATTTTTTCTTCAACGAGGAAAAGGTGCCGTTTGAGATCCCTGCAGTCATGGCATTATAATGCGAACAAGTCCACATCGCATAGAAGTTACGGTTCAAAGCGACATGGCTGTCACTGTGGTGGCGTAATAATCACAAGCATGACCACCAAGGGTACACACCACAGGTCAAATAGACCTTGACCTTTTCAAGTCCTCACAAAACCAGAACTCATGAGCACAACGCATACCAGTGCGAGAATGGCAGCTACCGAGCCTCTAGTGCGCTTCAATCAACCCCAATAAGCTTGAATTTCCCCACGCATTGGCTCCAACAGAGATGACAGACCGGGGCAACGTTGTAATACTCCTGACGAAGCATTGTATCATCTTGGCCAAGTCAAACGCCTTGATATGTAATGCATCCAACACCTGAGGCCAAGAACAGACAAAATACTGTCAAAAGAAGCAAAATGACATTCCTTAGCGTTAACATTGCGCCATAGGGATTCTTACTTTTGGGAACGTACAAGAAACCATGCGATAGCATGCAGTCACCACCTCGGCAGAACACGCAACTAAGGCGCGATGGAACTTGCCAGCTGAAAGGAGGGAAGTAACACCTGCCACACCGTTGTTCTTCTCCTCGGCCTGCAAGATGCGCTCCAGGCTAAGGTAATATACCTTAGTGACCTCAATACGCCGCTCTGACACCAACGACGGTTGCAACAAAGGAAATGAACCCAAAAGGGAAGGAATTTTCTCTTCTGGCATGATGCAGCTCACCAACTCTTGAACTCTCTGATTCAGCTGCTCTGCAGCTGACAGAGTTACAGTCACGCAGGCACCTTGTTCTCCATCAGGAGGTACCGCCACTTCCGCAAGATACCTCATTACGCTTGGGGACGGCTGCACATTAACAAGAGGGGCAACATCGCGAACACATCCATGTTCGACGATTCGAAAGGAAACCGTGCGTGAATTTCATTTAGAACTGAGAACAATACTTTTCGACTGGAAGTTGCATAGGATACCCACCTCAGCTGCCAGGCTGGCAGTTATGCCACGAAGCCATGCAGACGTGCTCATTATCTCTGAGACCGGCGTTACAGGTGGACCAGTCTCAACGCCGAGATTAAGCTTTGGTAAAGGCGAATGCATCCGTGCCAGCAGTGACGTCTTGGGATTCATCGAGGATGGCGATATTGCATACGATGCTGTTGTGTGTGCGCCGGGGCCCAAAAGTGACCCTTGGCGGATAGGTAATGGGCCTGCACGTAGCTTCATGACCGCAGACTGCATGTGCCGTGGTGAAAAACGGGGCGATGCAAATTTTGTGAAGTCTGTGAACAAGAACTCTCTTTCATCGAGTTCGCTGCCGCCGCGTGTGTAATGCTGCGCGTATTCCGTCTCCAACGCAGAAAGTGCGCGCTGCATGCGATTGCCATCTGTGACAAGGCCCTCCAGCAAACGACCTGCATGGAAGTGGAAGTTCTCCAGTCGCAAACGAGTTTAAGGACTTATCGCTTTTAGATTAAAACTAAGTGAATTAGTTTATGGAGATCGTAGACAGTGCAGCTGCGTGTGCAGCGTTGAGATTCCCCCAACATTGATTTTCAAAATATACATCACCGCCCCCCAAAACATGTATCAATGCACCAGAAATTTCTTACTAGATACAAGGTCCACAACCCCCGGAAATGTGCACTTTTCCGCTGCGGTTGCACTTTTTGCTAAGTTTGATTCCAATTGGGCATGGGACGCCGCCTCCCGCCATTCTGGAACAGCAGACGTCAGGACATGAGAGAGCAGAGCTTCGACACTGGGAATACGCGCCTGCACCCTGCTGTAGTCTGCCTTGCATATCTCTGCAGGCATGGCAACAGGAAGGAGGTTGATATGTGGGGCCCTGGTTGCGCACCCATCCAAGACACATGCACTCATAAGCACTGCGCAGACAGCAGGTCTTGTGTGTCAGTAATGTATTTCTCGCTGAAATGGGCGCTGAGGTCGTGGACAATCAACCCCATTCGCTACTGGTTAGGCATCACCCAAGACATATCCAAATTCATACCTGAAAGTGATTTGAGAAGTGCTGAACGGTATTCTGCCCCACTGACATGGCTAAGGCAGTCTGGAAGCTGCGGGGCGTGACTAACGAGGATGGCGAAAACGCACGGTAGAAGTTCAACGCAACTGCGTACATAGAAACCATGCTACCATCATAACGACGCCAGAAGCATCAGGTGCACATACACTTGGTATCTGATTGATCTAAATCTAATCAACATGTAAAATGAGCGTAAAGCAATCAATGAGTTTTACGGACATATCGAAAGTACCTGACGACATCGGGAAAGGAACTCAAAAGCTTGATCCGTAGCACAAGGAATGCGTTCCACCCAAGCTTAAGCACTATCTGCTTAAAGAAGTCTAACTGATGCAGAAGCATGCCGAAATTGTCCTGCAAGATTGACCCGAAAGATAGCAGGGCGCAAGCGGGGACTAGAGAGAACTACGGAACTAACCTTGTACTTTTTGGCGAGCAAACCCATGACTACAACAGTCTCCGAATTCTCCTTCAGCTGAGCCTGCTGCGCAAACAATCGCGAACTACCCCCACGCGCTTCAAAGTATGAAGAAAGCTTGCTGACCACGACATTCACCTCGCGGAAAAAATCAAGAAGACTGTAGCGAGTGTCAAGATTTGACTGCTTCGCCACAGCGGCAGATGTGCCACAGTGCATAACTTACTTAATGCCCGCAGCAGCAACAATCCGTGATATTGGACAGCCAAAGTTGGATACTGTTCTGCCTCCTTGCGCCTGCGCCGCGAAAAGTACGCGCGCCACGAAAAGAAGGCTCGCCTGTGTACAAAGATGTTTGACCTCTTCATCCTGCTCGCCCTGCATAGCAAAACATTATTTCAAGAAAACTCCGGGCGCCCGGAAGATTGCTTTATACAAAATCCTGACCGCGTAGTCTGAAGCAGGTGATGCATTTTCTTGGCACTCATAACTGGCCCTAAGCTCCCGGTACAGCTGAAGAAATCCCTCCTGTGAAATGGCGTCACCGAAATTCACCTCCTTCAGCAGAAAGGATATCCTATCATTGAGCGGGCCGTTACGGTTTAAAGTATCCATGCCGTCGAGCGAAACACATACATTCGAAGGGTAAGCACCTTGTAACGACATCACAAGTACATGTCTGACTGTTTGCACAAATGTCTTTTCGGCCAGGTGAGGCCCGCCCTGGAGTGGTCGTTAGTACTGCTGCGATGTGACTCTGCGCAAAGTGAATTTATGCTAAGGCGTTTCCCTATTAAACGTTTATTAGCCGGACAGCGGCTATAGAACATATTTGTGGGATCTACGGTACCCACCATCAGTTGGACGCATGCACCGTCCGGGAAGGCTCCCAGGGTTAAGTTAGGTAGGAACGCCCGAGGCGTCCATTGCCGACTGCCAACCGCAAGAATCCATCTCCATTACCTCCACCAGCTCAGCGGATCACCAGCCTCAGGCCAGTGAGTCCTGTTTGTCAGCTCCGCGAGCTAGCGGAGGCAATCGAGGGGGCTGCGAAGCGCGATCCCCCGCATGAGCAGGGTCGATTCCCCTTGCTCTTCCTCCTTCACCGCCACCCTCCTCTGCCTATCTCACCACCAAATCGTAAGTCCATATTGCGGCAACACACCCTCCTCCTTTTTGTTCTCCTATTGCGGCAGCACACCCTCCTCCTTTTCCCCCTTACTATTGCTGCTACTGCTGTCATTGTTTTAATCGCTACTGCTCGTACAGCTACTACTCTTCCAGGCGCCTTACCCACCCAAACCTTACTTAGAGAAACCTATTCCGGCAGAAGTGGTTCAGCGGCACCTGGTTCAGCATTACCAGGCGACCCCAAGGAGCCTTATACAGCAGCTGCCACACTCAACCGATAAACCCCCTAACTGCTGTTGCTGGTCGGCCATGCAGCATTGCCCCTGTCCCCTTCTCGCTCTTTTCTCTTTCACGTCCGGATGTGTTCCGGGACAAGTAAGGGCTGAGATGAAGAGGAAGAAGAGAAAGGAGGGGGTCAAGCCTCAAGAGGGGCCCCCAACCCCTCAAGCCCCAAAGCGTCCCTTAGTCACCCACCACAATGGCCCTGCAGACACAACCGGTGCAAGGCCCGTACGGGTACGACTCTATCACAACACAAATTCATGGTCACACGGCGGAATACATCACAGACATACGGACAGACGGCTGGCACATGGACACATGTTGCGCATGTTGACAACACGAAGCAGCACTATCATCGAGGCAATGCGAAGCAAATGCGAGCCAACTACTTCCATACCAGGAATCCACATGGCGAAATATAAGCATTGGATGGGTCTGGCGGCCGAGCAAGCGGGCAGGAAGGAGGTGCTCCCGCATATCACAATGTTTATCCCACGTTCAGCGAATCGCAAGCTTATGCAGTTTAGGCTTTGCTGTTGGGCACTGGCGGCTAACAGAGCGCGTAAGGGACGGCGTTATATACCTAGGGAGGGGCGAGTATGCCCTTGCTGCGGCACTGATAGCCACATCGAGGATGAGAAACACATTTTGCTGGACTGTCCGGTGTACGACGAAATCAGATCTGATATGGGCTTTCCACGCTTCGAGCATATGAAGGACGCTATGAAGTGGGAACCTGAACGCCTGGCAAGGATGCTGGAACGCATATGGTCTCACCACAACTCTATCGTTCCCTTTGGTCGTTAGTATACTTCATCACTTGTCTCGTTGGAAGTGCGAGGTAGGATGGTGCTTATAGGCGATTTGGCAGCCCTTGAGCCCTCGGCTCGTATTAGGGTGGTTTGCAGGTACAGGGAATGCACCCACGACCATGAAACAACAACAACAACAAATACCATACATAAATTAATTGTAACGAACGAGCGTACATGCATGCATACATACATACATTATACCCAGGTTAGGCATTACTGGTAAGGCACGGACCATTGCCCCCAGAAAATTTCGGGGTCGAAAATCCTTCCGATGGTGGAAGGTAAAGTGCCCCTAGTCGATGGACCGTGGTGACCTGCGATAAAGTTGACTCACGAGCTGACCAGGAATGGAGTTGGGCCACCGTCGATCCGGCAGATTCCGTTGGACGCCGGTGGTGGGTGCGGAACCTAAGCGATCCACTGAGAAGTTGACTAGGGTGACTAGATGAAGGTGCTCCGAAATACCGGGGAAGGGAGGGTTTCGCCGGGTAGCGGCCACGGGTGAAGATATGGCCCCCTGTCCCACACATCATACATCACCAGATGGTACCCAGCCACATCTACATGCATACACGTACACACACAAGGAATGAAGGATGGCCGGAAGGATCACCTGTGTCACACCGTTATTGTGTACTGCATGCCCTGACGCCGCCACCAACATCATCGCCATGGAACCCCAACTACCTGTCCTTAACCTTCCCCCTCCCGTTCTCACAATCCCCTGTCAGCAGGAACTGCTCGTTGGGGTCTATTAACTGCAACATGGCAGTGGAGGGCGGTGGTGCAGCGGTGGTGATGGTGATGGAGGCGGCGGCAATAACCGTGCAGTTGAGGCGGAAGCACTTGGCGGCCTTCTTTGGTACTGTTTAACCCAGATTGCTTGGCGGTGGCGGCCTCTTCTTCCGTTTCTTCTTAGGCGGCGGTGGCGGTGACGGTGGCGGTGACCGGATTGGTGGCGGCCGCGGCGGCGACTGGATCGTTGGCGGCGGCGGCGGCGGTGGCTGTCTTGTAATTACCGCAGGCAGGATTGGCGGCAACGGCGGGGGCGGTCGCGGCGGCGGCCGTGGAGGCCTGGGCGATGGCGGGCTTGGCGGCTTGAGTGGCCCCAGCGGGGGACTCGGACAGCACAAAACTGGCTTTCCAAAGCAGCTCATTGACAAATAAAACACTGGAGGAGCCCGAGCCGAGCAAGGAACCCATGGAGAAAGGGAGGAGGGAAAAAGTGGAGGGGGGAGATTTAGGAAAAGCGGAGTTAAGGCTTTAGGAAAGCGAGAAAAAAACTCTCAAACAGATATACAAACATAGGGGCGTTGTTGGGGAAAGAGGGTAACGTAACGGGGCCAGCGGTGCTGTCAACGAAGAATGGCGATCCACCGCCAGCAAAGAGCGGGACAGGGTAGGGGCCTCAAGCCTCTTCAACAAACCGAATGAGATGAGCGCGGCGCTTGATCTGATCGCATCTGAGATTGCCTGACGATTATATATAGGAGGAAAAAGTATCCGATTTTTAGATTCCGATCAGATCTGTTCGAGGGGGCCTGAGGCTTAGTTGGATGGGTGCCTACTTACAGGAGTTGGTGACGGACTCCTCAAGGACGCTGTTGCACGGCAGCTGGCCCACCGTGATCAGGGTGGCCAAGAAACCTTGGAGAGCAAAACCGGCCTGGGGGGTTACGACGTAGGATTTAGGAGCTTCAAGGTTTCCGGATCAAGCGAAAAAAACATACAGACATCAAGCCCTTGAAAAGCTCACTCAATACGGGAGTCTCTGGGTATCACCGGCCACTCTCCCCCCACACGCACATGCATTCACACACATACATATACACACATACATATACATAACCGTATACATACACGTCTGGCGAGGATGTTGGAACGTATGTGGGCTCACCGAGACTCAATTACCCCCTTTGGACGCTAGTCTGGGCTGATGTGCGGTGTTTTTCCTTTTCTCCGTGGCTTTTAGGCGTTGTAGTATTCCCCTTGGGCCTTCGGCTCGTATGGGTAGTCTTACAGGTATGGGGTCACGCACCCCCCAACCATGTAACACACACACATATACATAACCGCACACCCGCACACGGCCCCACCTGTGCCGCCGAAACGGGGTCCTGCAGCTGAACGTTCAGGTACGTGTCCCCCGTGATGTAGCCCACAGTGCACAACACGTCCGACAGCAGGGTTTGCCCCGCTGCCTGCAGCGACACCTTCACGGCGGCACGGAGGGCGGTGCAATTTATGGAGAAGATGGCGTCCTGGTTGGGGTTCGTGATGCGGATCTGCGTGCGAGGGGGAAGAGGGAAGGAGAAGGCGTGGTGGGTTAGGGGGGAAGATGAACCACGAACGAGTGAAGCTGATGCCGAGATAAGACTGATACGCCAGAAGTAAGGAAGGCATAGCTAAACGGTGGGCGCTTGTGAAGAAGAGTCCTCGCGATGATATAGTCATGACGATACTACCTACCTTGCCGCCAAAACTAAAATAATGTGCGGAACGAGAACAGGAAAACCATCCAAAGGTAGGTGTAAAGGCGGTGAAGAGCAAAAGACTGACGTGAGTTGAGAAAGAGGTGACGTAAGCAGGAAAAAATGGTTCGCCGGCCTGGCGGCGGAATTGAGGAACCCCGACAGAACTGGCTGACAAGCTGGTAATAAGCTGCTGGTGACATGCATGTGCTCCTCCAAACCCCCAACACGCGCCCGACCCGATCGACCCGACCATCCTAGTCCGGCTAGCCGACCGACGCAACGCGATATACCAACAAAGCTCGAACCTACTCGGACTCACCTGGCCAGGCAGCAGAAGCGGCGGGCAAGGGCACATGCGAGGCAGAGAGGTTGCAAGGTTGTGAGTAGCGGCCGGTGAAGGAAAGATTGCATGCGAATGCCGCTGGAAGGGACTATTATGCTGGAAGACTGGGGAAACCGGGAAGAAGAATAAAGACCATATGGAATGTGGTAAAAACGCAGGGGCTGAAAAGAAAAAGAAATGCAAAGGCGGCGCAGGACGACACAGAAGGCGTCGTACTAGATGACGGAATTGACAGCGCGATTACGGAATGGACGTCGTGTACACCGCCAGGAACGTGAAGAAGCTAGAAATTGAGAACTGGGGTGGAAAGAACGCATAAGAAAGGCAAATGGGAGAGGCTGTTGCTAGGGAGAGAAGTGTGTGCGTGCACGTGGACCAGGGGCACATGTGGCTTCCGCCAACCCGCATGCATTAGGTGGTGGTGCATGCAGCCCCGTAGTGCCTAAGATGTGGGGAAAACTGTGTACTCTTGGGGCGAAGGTGAGGAGTTGGGCTAGGGGGGAAGGAAGGGCGGGGAAGAGCATGGGAAGTCAGGTTATGAAAACATAGAATATAAACCGTCAGTTACTGGCAGAATATCATATGGGTACAACAAGTCCATAGGACCACATTTAACTCTGGCCTTTATTTTTCCTACTGGTGACGTATGGGTATGTATGTATGTACGTATGTATCTGTATATGTGTATGTATATGTGTATGTGTATCAGCGCTTTTTTCATTTTTGCCGGTTAATTTCCAGTCCGAACGGAGGAGTAGGTTTTTAGTCGGGGAAATAAAAGTATTCCGAACCTGTAAGGCGCTGGGGGGGGCCGGAGCCCACCCCCGAACCCCCCCCCATGAGTTACAGTTTAGTTCGTGCAAACGTCGGGTTCGGGGAATGTCGCAACACGCGCACACCGCAATCTCTCAAGCACTGATCGAATAGAGTTCGTTCACCATTGTTTGTTTGGCATCACGTTGAAAGATAACACAACACGACTTTCCGGGTTGCAAAAATAATGATGCATAGCAGCAATGAACCGGAACCGCCAAACGCAACCTGTTTCCTGGCCCATCGCGATTGTCTCCATATGACGATCGTTGATGTTTGGCCCGCTCGCTGTTGACAACCGGAGTGGCGTCATTGTCGTCGGCTGGCTGCAGCATTGCGTCCACATTGCCTACGACCTCTACACCGTCTTCATTTACGTCGCTAATGGCTTCAGTTAAATATCTGCGTTCCACGCTTTGGGAGCTTCGGGTCCGAATGTTTTGCAGCGTGAGGTCGGGTCAGAAACAGTCCGATTCCTCGTTGACTTTCGGGCGTGACCTTCGTAGCAGTATCCATGGCATTAAAGTACTATGATATGGTTAACATGTATGTCTCGTGTAAGATTCTAGCGGCTTTGGCATGGACAGTCCATTTTTGGCTGGAGGAATGAACATGTACGGTCGGAACTTTAATTATGTTTAATTTTCAGGACCACGAACAATTTATATCATTCCGAGTTCGAAATATATTCCACAAAAAAATAACGCTGATGTGTATGTGTATGTGGGTGGATGCGTGGATGCGGTGTGGGTGGGTGGGTGGGTGGATGGATGGTCATTACACGAGGGACACGCCACAACATGCGCCTTACCGACATGGTAAGGTATGTCATTTGTTGTACGGCAATGAGCTGCTGGCGTTAAAGTTGGGCAAGTGTTTGTATTCACTGCGTG